CGACAAAAGGGGTGGCGGGAGGGACGTGGCGTGGGTGGGGCATGGACTCCCCCCACTCCCACTGTGCTCCCATCCTTCGGCACAAGCCTGGTTTGACCAGAGGACGGAGGACAACACTGGGCCTCCCCATCCACGCACAGGGGCCATGTGCCTGCAGACAGCGGGCAAGTGGCTGCCCCTGGGAAGACAAAGGCCCAATCGCCATGCGCCAGGCACAGGGACTCCGCTCTGTCTTGGCAGCTGGCCCGCAGCACAGGGTACAGCCCCAGAGCTACCTTCGGGCGCTCGGCGTGTACCCTGACCTCTCTCCTGAAGGCACCGTGAGGAGGACACCCTCTGTTAGAGGGCCTGCCCGCGTCACGAAGCAAACAGGCTTGGGGTTCACCCCGCTCGTTCCTGGGCAATGCTGCCCGTGAGGCCCACGCCCTGGTCCCACCACTGGCCCTTAATGGGGCCTCAAGCCACTGTCACCAGCACTTCCCGCCAGCCCACAGACATGCTTGGACTTCAGAGACTGGGCCAGCCTGGCTGCCCACTCCCCTGGCAGGGAAGGTCTGCACCCACTGATAAGCTGTGGGGTGCAGGCAGAGCGGCATCACCCATCAGGGCTGGGGCGGGCGACTCTGACCTGCAGCATCGGCCAGCACAGCCAACACCCGTTGTCACCTCCTCCGGCCTCGCCCTGACTCCCGCCTGTGAGACGATTTGATTTGGTTCAGTGGTTGAAAACTTGACATCAGAAAGGTGCAAGACGCGAAGGACACACCAGCAGAGGCCGGGGACCTCGCCGGGACGGGGGGAGGGTACTGCCACGAGGCCCCACACCCACCACAGGAGGCCCCAGGCCTGCCACAGGGAGAGGCCCCACACTGCCACGGGAGGCCTCAGGCTGCCACAGGAGGCCCCACGCCTGCCACAGGGAGAGGCCCCACACTGCCACAGGAGGCTCCATGCCTGCCAGAGGAGGCCTCACACTGCCACGGGCCCGCAGGAGCCACAAAGGCCATGCGGGAGGCTGGCCTGCATGTCCATGTTCCTATGTGTTCATGCCTGTGTGTGCCTGGACGTGCATGACCGCATATGCTCGTGTGTGCAAGCATACCCATGTGTGCACCTGTGTGTTCCTACATGTACACACATGCCCACATGTGCCTCCGTGTGTGCCCACATGTGCTCATGTGAGAGCCCATAGGACACGCCTGCAGAGTTCACGGGCACTTCCTTCCGGTTTAAACACGCTGACCCCTGGCGCAGCGACACAGCCCAGTGCCTGGAGTGTGCGGTGACACCGGGTGCCATGAGAGACGCGACAGACACCCCAGTGGCCACAGAAGATAGAATGACGCAGGACCCTACTGGCAGCAAAGGGCGGAGCCAGGCGGGCAGGCTGGAAGAGCTCGAGGGCACACAGAACGGGACACGCTGGGGGCCAGTGCGACCCTCCCGTGGGCCAGAGTGGGCCTGCAGAGGGCCTTCTCGGTCTGTGGGAGGCTGGGTCCGCCTGGCTGTGGCCCGAGCAGTGCCACATGTGCCGACTCAGCGCTGTCGCATCGGCCACCCGCCAGCCCAGCCGTGACGAGGGTCGCTGCTCACTGTGGAGGGCCTGCCCTGCTCCGGGGTGGGAAAGCTGCAGAGACCCGCTCCTGGGCCAGGCTGCAGAGCCAGGGCGGCCTGGGTGACTGCAGAGCCAGGGCGGCCTGGGCCAGGCTGCAGAACCAGGGCAGCCCTGGCCAGGCTGCAGAACCAGGGCAGCCCGGGCCCGGCTGCAGAGCCAGGGCGGCCCGGGGGACTGCAGAGCCAGGGTGGCCCGGGCCAGACCCCAGGGCCTTCATGTGAGCAAGGGCAACTTGTGGGGCCTCACGGAGGAATGGCCACCAGAGCAGGGCTCACATCTGAACAGCCAGAAGCCCGGAGGGGACAGCCAGAGCCTGCATCATCTGTGCCGAAGGGTGTGGCGGCCGAGGGCCTGGGCGCCCGCGGCGCTGGGCAGTGGGCATGCAGTGGGGTGGGGAGGAGAGTCCCAGCCATTCTCCTGAATCAGGCACAGGCAGGTAGAGGCGGCCTGGTGCAAGGACAGGCCATGCCGTCATGCTCACCTCGACGGCGTGGGGCCAGGCCGGAGTGTGGTAGCTTGCTATAGGGCAGCCTCGCCACATGACCACCTGTTCCTGTGGCCCGCCCCCAGCCCTGGATGGACAGACAGGACAGGAAAACACGGGGAGCCGTGGAGCTGGGTAGTGGGGTGCCTGGGCTCCGCTCCCTCGAACCCTCACTCGGGGTCTCACTTGCCGTGCTCCGACGCGCTTCCACCAGAGACAAAGCCCACACGAACGAGGGGTGGTGTGAGCACTGTGGCGGCCGGCACTACGCTGCAGCGGGCCCAGGCGCAGCGGGGAGCTGGAGCACGAGCTCTGGCCGCCGCCGGCAGGCCTGGGTCCCCAGGGCTCCTCCTCAGAAGGCCCTGCCCAGAGACCACGCCTGGTCCTCTGCAGCGACAGACCATCGCCCTGGGAGGGAGGTGTCTTGGAAGGTCTGTCGCCATCCCCAAGGGTCCATGGGAAGAAAGGCCAGGGCAGACAGCTTCCAGGCACGGGAGAGCGGGAGGCGGAGACCTGACCCCTGGGGGCTGCAGGCCAGGTGCACCTCCTGGATGGGCCTCCTAGGCTCAGCACCCTGGCCCGGGGCAGCTCCCCACAGCCAGCGTGGCCTGCGGACCTCGGGCTGGGTGGGCAGGGCCCTGAGCCCCTTCCTGCACTGGGGGCCTGGCGGGGCCCATTTGGGCCAGTGGTTTGATGGCAGAGGAAACCACAGGAGGTGGCTGAGGTGGCCACGGTCCCTCTTTAGCCTGGCCCGCGGCAGGAGAGTGGCCCCAGCTATATATACGCACAGAGAGACGGTGAGCAGATCGGGGCCGCGTAAACAGCAGAACCCCTGCCGGCGTTAGAGGGAGCCTAAAAATACTCCCTGTCATTATGCTATTAAAACGCGCCCGAGAAATTGATCCACCCGCGGCAGAGGCTCCCTCCCGGACAGCTGCAGGGGAGCGAGGGCCGAGCCTGTCAGCCGAGGGGCCTTGGTGCGGCTGGGAGGCGGTCTGGCCCGTCAGCCCCCTGGCACAGCTCTCCACAGTGGCACCCAGGACCGAAGGGCCCAGTGTGGGCTGCGCGCAGGACAGGTCGCCCCGGTACCAGCCACGCCCGGCCACGTCCCCTCTGAGAAACACCACATGAGACGGGAACGCTTCAAAGCCTGAGTACAACCACAGAACCAGCGTGGGCGCCAGCCGGGGAAGCCGGCGTGGCCTGCTGGTCCCGTGGCTGCAGGGCGCACGTGCCAGGGACCATCTGGCTCCCACAGGAGGTGGCCGGGAAATGGACAGCGCAGAGGCCTCCTCTGGGAGCAACGTGGACGAGGCTGAGAGCGCGTCACCCCACAGAACGCTGCACGGCCCCAGCCCAGGGCCCCTCGGGTCCCCCAGCAGCTGTCCACGCGGCCTCTACCCTGCCTTCCTCTGACAGTGCGGCCCTACAGGGGGGGACGGCCCGGTGAGGGGCGGAGCCTCCACCGGGAAATGGACAGCGCAGAGGCCTCCTCTGGGAGCAACGTGGACGAGGCTGAGAGCGCGTCACCCCACAGAACGCTGCACGGCCCCAGCCCAGGGCCCCTCGGGTCCCCCAGCAGCTGTCCACGCGGCCTCTACCCTGCCTTCCTCTGACAGTGCGGCCCTACAGGGGGGGACGGCCCGGTGAGGGGCGGAGCCTCCAGCAGCCGCCCCGCCCCGCCTCCCTCCCAGTTTCTCTCAGCACCACCAGGGCATGGACCTGAGTCACCCCCAGAGGTCCCCACCTCCAGGCCCCGCCTCCGGGCCCCGCCTCCGGGCCCCACCTCCAGGCGGCCCCCACTTCCAGGCCTCGTGCTCCAAGAGGAGGGCCCTGGCCTTGCGTTGGGGGCCCTGGTGCTGCCCTCCTGCCTAGCTGCCCGTCTCCCTCCTAACTGCCAGACCTCCCCAGTCTCAGGGTCCCCTTGGGGTCTGCGCTCACACAAACCTGCCCGACTCGGAGCCCGGGACCAGGCAGCAGAGTGCCAGCCCTATCTACCGGGAGCCCTGGCCCTGCCCCATCTGGCCAGTCATTCCTGTTCCAGGCACAGTGCCAGTCCCACCTGGATGGCACTACCGGGGGACCCCCACCTGGACGGCGCTACCGGGGGACCCCCACCTGGACGGCACTACCGGGGGACCCCCACATGGACAGCACTACCGGGGGACCCCCACCTGGACAGCACTACCGGGGGACCCCCACCTGGACGGCGCTACCAGGGGACCCCCACCTGGACAGCGCTACCGGGGGACCCCCACCTGGACGGCGTTATCGGGGCCTCATCTCGACGGCGTTATCGGGGCCTCATCTCTATGGTGTTATCGGGGGGGCCTCATCTGGACGGCGTTATCCGGGCCTCATCTCGATGGTGTTACCGGGGGCCTCATCTCTATGGTGTTATCGGGGCCTCATCTCTATGGTGTTATCGGGGCCTCATCTCTAGGGCGTTATCGGGGCCTCATCTCTATGGTGTTATCGGGGGCCTCATCTCGATGGTGTTACCGGGGGCCTCATCTCTAGGGCGTTATCGGGGCCTCATCTCTATGGTGTTATCGGGGCCTCATCTCTATGGTGTTATCGGGGCCTCATCTCTAGGGCATTATCGGGGTCTCATCTTGATGGTGTTATCAGGGTCTCATCTCTATGGTGTTACCGGGGGCCTCATCTCTAGGGCGTTATCGGGGCCTCATCTTGACGGCGTTATCGGGGGCCTCATCTCGATGGCGTTATTGGGGCTTCATCTCTAGGGCGTTATCGGGGCCTCATCTCGACGGCATTATCGGGGGCCTCATCTCGATGTTATTTGTTACACTTTGTTTCTCCTTCCGCCTGTGCTCGGCACTGCACCCCGAAGGTCCCCTTTCCAGGCCTGGTTAGAGGACGGCAGTGAGGACTGCCCCCATGCCCACCCCTGTAGCCCTGGACCAACCCGGGCTCCTGGCGCTCACCCAGAGCTCCTCCCTCACAGGCAGACGAGACTCGCTCGGAACGTCTGAGAGGGCTCAGAGGAGGTCCCACCTGAGTGCCCGGGAACCCACGGGTGCCATGTGGGCAGGCTGGCACAGACACCCTCTGCATGCAGTCTGCAGTGTGAGGAGGGCTTCCCAGAGCCGCCCGAGTGCCCAGGGCAGCGTGACAGCTGGTCCCTTGCACTCGGCTCCCTGGAGGCTAACCTGGCCGCTGGCCGCCAGAGCCCCAGCCTCTGTGCTGCACATCTGGGCAAGCACGCAGGGGCTCCTGGCTCCAGGGCTGTGCGAGGGGCACTGGCCTTGCTGCAGGGGACTGCAGCCCAGCCTGGTCGGGAGACCGAAAGGGATCAAGGGTCAGAGACCCGGAAGCAGCCTTGAAAGTTTATTGTCTGGCTCACAGGGAGGGTCCGAGACCCAGAAAAGGGCAAGGACTGGCCGGCTCAGTGCTAGACAGGCCACACGCCACAACCTCCAGCCGGGCTCTGGTCCCCGGGCCTGTCCTGCTTCCCAGCTCCTTCCTGTCCCTGCTGTCCCCAGGACCGTCCGCACCAGGTTCCCCTGGAGCAGCAGTAGGAAGGGCAGAGACTCGCCCCACCAGGGAGGGGAACCCTTCCTCTGTGGCCATGCCCACCTGTGCGACCTGACCCTCCTCGGCCACACGGCTAACCCTCAGGACAGGGTCACAGCTGGGTCTGGGACAGCCCGGGTGGCCCTTCCTGCCCACCTCTGCAGGGGACCAGGCCCCAGGCCAGGCCAGAGGGCAAGCTCAGGGAGGAAGCACCAAATCAGGCAGAAGTGAAGCCATGGCCGTCCCCGCAGTCCAGCCGCTGCTCCAGAACGGGTCGGCCCCAGGGCACCGAGGAAGCCACCAAGCCATCAGCGCAGAGAGTGGGTGCCCACCCTCCTGGCCGGTGCGTCCCAGCACCTCCAGGGACTGACAACACCCAGCGTGACCAGAGCCGGCCCTGCTGGTACTCTCCACACCTTTAGGGACCGCCAGGACAGCAGGGCCCAAGGAGCGGTGTGTCGCCCGGCACCAGCCCTGCCGGGGTGGAGGGCACTGTTTCTAAAGAGGATGACCCGGAGGAGGCCCACACCTTGCAGAACGGAAGAGGAAACCCCAGGGACCGAGGGCCCAACAATGGCTTCCTGCAGGGGCTCACGTGGCCTGGAGAGGGCGGCGGCCGCCGATGGGGCCAAGGGCGGTGTGCAGTGCTTGCCCCCCAGCCCTCTCTGCACCCGGCAGGGCAGAAGACGCCGCAGGAAGCCAGGAAGTGCCGCAGGAAGGGGCTCCTCCACCCACCAGCCAGGACACTTCCTCTGTGACCCTCCTCAGCCCTGGGCTTCCCTGTCCTGGCCCTGAACATGCGGGCATGCATGCACAGATCTGCCCACGTCGCAGGCGTGCACAGCAGCCCTCCTTCCATGCGCCAGGCCCGCCCTCTCCTGTTGACCTGCTTGCCGTCCTGGCCAGCAGGAGGCAGTGGCACCCCCTGGACAGCGGGGCGTCTGCTCAGAGGAGCCCCAACCTGGCCGCTGTGCGGCTGCTCGGCGTGAGTGCTCTGCCTGCGGCAACCAGCAGTGCCCCCAGGGGGCACACTGGGCTCTGGGCTGGCGCCGAAGCTCCACTCGGGTCCCCTTTGGGGGCGGCTCGGCAAATGCCAGTCTCTCCTCACCACCCTCCTGGCCCGTGGGCTGGCCTGCTCCCTCCTGGGCGGAAGCAGCCTGGACGGGACGACACGAAGTCACGGCTGTCCTGAGGCCTGTGCTTTCCCTGCCCGTCTCACAGCTGTGGTGAAAAGATCCCCAGAAGGAGGAAGTGTCCCCGCTCTCAATGGTGACACTGCTTGACAGTCCGCCCAGCCCCGGTGATGCCCAGCGTGTGGAGGGCGGGTCCCACCGGGCCAGGCCACGAGGCACGGGAGAGCAGAAGCCATGTGGCCGCCCACCGGCAGCAGTGCAGCACCCGCTTCCTCAGCACCTGCGTGCTGCTCCGTCTGGGCGCCCCGCTGCACCCCGCTCCTATGGAGGCGGGGCGGGGGGCACACGACGCACTGCCCTGTGTCTCTCTGGGCACTGTCCTGTCCCCCCAGGGCTCCAACCTTCAGGGTCCCTGTCCCCAGGGGCAGGGCGGTCCTCTGCCCGGCCCAGGAAGGGGCGTTGACCAGGACACCGTAGGGTGACTCAGCCCCTGCCCTCGGCCTGAGCCAGGAGGCTCACAACCTCCAAAGACTGCATTCATCCAGCCACCAAGGAACCTTCTCTAGCCAGGGCTCCGAAGATGGGGGCTCCCGCCTCAGCCAGGCCCGGACTGGACAGCCCGGGGCAGACGGCTGAGGCCCAGGTGTCGCCGGGCACGAGTCTGCCACGACTCTGCAGCCACCTCCCCCAGGAGCTTCAGAAAAACTGCGGAAGCCAAGGGCCGGGCCAGGCGGGCTTGGCGAGGGTGTGGCCAGCAGGGGTGTTTTGTACTTAACAGACTTCAGTCTGGGGACAGTTTCAGGTTTGCAGAAAGTACAGTTAGTCACCACTAGTTTTTAAAGCTCCCGGGTGACTAACGCGAGGCCTGGGACAGAACCGAGACAGCACGACCTCGGTACTCACCGAGGGCTGATGACCCAGGCCACCCGTGGGTAGCAGCCAAGAAGCCAAAGCACCCAGGCCCAGGCCGGCTCAGGGGCCAGCAGACTGCACGTGCGGGTACCAGGACGCTGGCCGTGGGAACCCCTGGCCGGCTCTGCTCTGGCCGGCTCTGCTCTGGGCTTGGCCGGGCGTTACAGGGAGAAGGCCCACCAGGGCCGTGGGCGGAGACCACCTGGACCACAGAGAGGGAAGAGCCCGGGGCAGGCCGTGGGCAAGAGGGCAGGCGGGAACCCTGCGCCGCCGGGGGTGCTCTGCCCACACACGCTGACTCCATCAGGAGCAAGTTTCTCCAGACTCCCCTTTCCAACCACAGGGGTTTTCATGGATGCTGTCTGGGAAAACCCGCCAGCTCGCCACCTTCCTGCGTTACTGTCCGGACACCAAGGTGGGACCGCTCTGGGTCCTCCACGTTCTGGGCACCGGGAGGCCAGCCCCGGGCAGTGACCGGCCGGGAGGGGTGCCCGGGCACGGGGAGGGGCTCGGGGAGGGCCCACAGCCCGAGCCCCGCCCCCCACCACGGCGGAGTTCCACAGAACAGACTGA